CCGGCCGATCCCCGCCGACGGGCCACGCGGGCTGTGCCACGGCCATCGGCTTGTGGTAACTAGTAGCAGGGTAATCGGCAGTCGGTATAGCGAGGCATTATGCTGAGGCACAGAATACATACTGACACGGCCTCTATACACAGAATATACACAGACACAGTCTCAATACAGTATATAAACCTGCCTGCTGCATTGTACGTGACCTGTCCATCCCAGCTAGGGAATATTTTTATTTTTTTTGCATGAAAGTCTTAGCAACTGGCTGATACAGCTGAATATGGTAAAAGCTTGATAGGGAGAGGGAAGGTTGCTTGTGGCAGGGGAAGGGACCAGGCCATATTCAGGCTGTTTAACTTAGAGACCTTCCTCTGACTTCTTTAGAGACCCTGCTCTGACAGTTCTGGTCGGAATTGTTTCTCACTTTCTTAGACACCATCTCAGCTGTCACACTGAAGTTAGGTTGGCTGGGAGCCTGGAATAGTCTTGGGCTGTGTGCAAGTCCTTTTTTGTCTCTAAGTCTGTTCCTCTTTCATTAGCTCTTCAGTATTCCAAGGAGGTTCTGGCATGGGCAGTATTATCTGTCTATTATCTCTGATCTGTTTTACCGGATAAAACCCCCCTGCCTTCCCTCAGGTGAGCTCAGGCAGGTGTGTGTGATGGCCTTTGCTTTACTTCATTTGCTGCTGAATCTGCTCCAGAGCATCCCTAGTAACTTCATGAACTCCCAAAGCAACATGGGGGCCTTGGGCACACAGTCTCAAGTACAGATGGCTGTCCCTGAGACATGGGTGCAAGGTGGGACACCTGGGATCTCTGGGACACCAGGAACCCTGCCTGCCTGTATTCCCAGCTCCAAAACTTGCCTGTTTGGCCCCAAACCAAAGGTGGGGCAAACCTCTGCAGCGTCTTCAGCAGCTGCTGCTCCTGAGAACAGCAAAACCTCTTGAGGGGTGGTGAGATCAGGGCCTTTGCTCCAGCTCTCCGAGGGGCTGGAAGCAGCCACCCAGCACGGGGGGAGCGAGCAGTGCTGTGCAACCAGCTTGTACCTTCAGCTGTTTGGTCTTAAAATACCCACTGGTGTCATTTTTTACATCCTACAGTCTTTACCCCAAGCTGTGTGTCTCACCCTTAAATGGAGTTATATTTTTAATTGCTGGCAGAGTATTATTATTAGCTACAAGCCTGCTGTTAATGCGCTGTGTGGCTCTGCAGAGAGCTTGATGAACCTACCTCATCTTGCAGACAGGCGGGGATGAATCATCCCGCTCGTCTGCAGCCAACGCATGTCCTAAAATGTGTCTTCTCCCAATCAAGCTTATTGCTGGGACTCCCACTTGAGGGAAAAGCCCACTTGAAAGCTGCTCTCCAGACCCATTATCCCACTGAGAGGTGAGGGAATGCTGCGAGGTGGGCAGTTGCATGGCAGCACCGTCCGCTCGCTGCCCGGACAGCGAAATGTCAGCCCCATTACAGGGAAAATCTGGCCAACTGCTCCATAACTGGGTACTGATGGTGGCCCGTCTCAGGGGACCATGGCACGTGCACAGACTGAAGACCTGGCTCCGAGCTGTGGAGCAGCAAAGATGCTTCCACAAATGAGTGGAATGGGGATATTGAGTCCCCCCCTACTCTGGATGAGCCACTGGTTTGCTGCCCGTGGGGAAGTAACAGGGTAAAGGAGCCTATGGGGAGGCCATCTCAGGGTGCAAGGAGCCACCTTGGGCCCGCCTGGCTCGTCCCTGCAGCAAGGCACTTTCTGGAGGTGCCAGGGCTGAAATAACGTATTGCAAAAGCCACAGCAACCAAACGCCGTGGGAGTGTGGCTGGGCTGGGGCCCTGGCAGGTTACTGGCTTCCTCCTGGGATGATCGTGTCGGCCGTTTGGTAAATGTTACAGCTGGGCAGCACCTGGTGTTTAAACAGACATGCTTTAGAAAACATAAACTACTGCTGTTTTTCACGTGGATCAGCATGCATATCTGGTGGCTTTGGGTCAGCCTCTACTGGCCAGATTTTTAAAGACTTGGTTATCTAAGGATGGAGATACAAACCTAAGCAGGATACTCAAAAGCAGTCCTTGTAACAGGAGTTGGCATGCAAGAGGCTTTGAAAGTAGGCTTCTGTCTGCCTAAAGAATTTTTAAATTCTTGCCCGTACTTACTCAGGGCCCTTTTGTTTAGTTTTGATGGGAGAGAAAGTTCACGGATGTTGTGAATGAATCATAGAATCGTTTAGGTTGGAAAAGATCTTTAAGATCATCAAGTCCAACCATTAATGAATGCACTACAGAGCCTCCAAGGTAGCCTTTCTGTACATAATAGTATTAAAGGGGTTTTTTTCACCTACCAGGACCAGGAGATTAAATTATGTTTCACAGAAAGTAGAGGACTTTCTGAGTCTTCTTTCTGCTAGCTCTTTGAAAGAGCATCTAGGAATTATAGTAGGCAAGAAGCTGCTGGACCAGAGCAGTGGGGCTGCAGCAAAACGAGGGACATCATTGAATTGATTAAAGCGAGCGACAAGTCTGTGAAAGCACGATCAGTACATCAGTCTGCTGAATTCTATATCTGAGAGCAAAATAAAATACTTTTCTGATTCTTAGCAAGCGGCTCCACTTCGTAACTCATTAGTAACTCAAATGAAGTGTTGAAGTAAATCTCGAGGAAGTGGGTTGGAGGACAACTGAAGCCTTCAGCTGGCTGAACTGCAGTTGCTGGGAGCAGCACTGTTGGAGGATAGACAACATTTTTGTCCTATTCTTCTGCTTCAGCACTGGCTCCCTTTCACCCTGAGCCCTTCAATGCATTGGTGCCTCTGTTCTCTTGGCTCCATTTCTGGCAGGGAAGGACATCCCTGTAGAGTGGGGTCTGTGACATCTGCAGGGAAGCAAGCTCCCTGCTGCATAAGGAT